TTCGAAAGCACTCCCGGGTGCAAGTAGATAAATAGGGACCGTTTACTGGCGGGAAGGTAAACGGCGTTTCCGTGTGCTGCTCTGGCTTGCCAGATGCAGCTTTGTCACGCTGGCCACGTGACCTGGAAGTGTCTCCGGACAGCGCTGGCCCCCGGCCTCTTAAGTGAGATGGGCGCACAACCCTAGAGTCTGTCAAGACTGGCCCGTACGGGCAGGGGTACCTTTACCTTTATAAGGTTAACTTTTTAACATCTGATTTTATTGCAAATTTTAATGTCTATTTTATGTACACTGTTCAGTGGGTTAGATGATTAAGTTGTACAGTATATAAATCCTATTAAAGAAAGAACGAACTAGTTGAAGCCCTTACTAAAGAAAATGAAATACTGGAGAGTGATAGAAACCTAAATTTTCTGTTTCAAAGAACTAATCAATATATGACTTGGAAGGTGGTATTTTTTTCTTTTTTGCAGTAAAGGTTTTCAGTCTCAGAAAAGCATTTTGAAACTATTTTAGACAATTGTGGTGGTGATTTTAATTCTTAAATGTACCATTCTGACTTATATCTCCCCTATTTTTAAATTTATTAATGTTAACTTTTTAGTAAAAGCAAATACATATCATTTCATATAAGCTTTTAGAGATTTAAGCTTTCATGTGGAGTTTAAATGTGTTTTCTTTTCTTTTTTGATATGGTCTGCAGACTAATTCAATACATTTTATTGGTCATTCAAGTTGTTTAGAACCACATTGCCACTTACAGAAAAACATGGACCTCTACATTTGCACTGGAGTTTTTGTAGGTGTTATTCACAGGGTGGAAAATGTGGCAGTTAAGTTCAGAGATATAAAGGCCTGAAATAAGCCAGGGGAAATAGTGGGTGGGTTTGTAAAAATTGGGTCTTCTGCTTTTCTGTTCAGCTTTTTGCAAATTATGTAATTTGTATGGTAAATGTATATGTATATATGTCATTCTGCTGGCGTGTTGTAATGTGCTATTTGATTGCTGATCATCTTGAAAATGGTGTGGGTTTCAATTTCAAAAGGTAGGGCCAGATATACTGTGGTGTTGTGTTTGGGTTTTTTTAAAAAAGGAAACCAAAATAGATAGACAACTGAGTTTGGGGAGTATCTTATATATTGGGTAATAAATTTTCAAAGTAAAGTGAATAGAAGATTTAGTACTACTGTATTTAACTTGTGCTTTTATAAGAACTCAGGGTAGGCAACATTAGTTTAGAAATAAATCAGTTGTTTGAATTCAAAATATATGCTTCAAAACACATGCTTAGTGACATAGCTATAGCCATCTAAATCCAGTCCAATAGAAAAGCCTTCCACCATGTCCAACATCTGTTGACCATGATTTTTGAATAGACAATGCTGTGTATTCAATCTGATACTGAGTATGTTCAGCTTTCAAAGCTTCTTAGTTAGGTCTGTCAGCCCTGTGTGACTTATTCACAGTAGAAGTTAGCATCCATCTATATGGTTTGTTTTGAGGAAAGGATTGACCCAGCTACAAGATTAATCTTGTTATCTTAAACACATTTCCTTCAACATAAATTCCACTAAAATAGTAATTAATTTCAAGTGATCAGGGATCAGGCAGATTGAGAAAATAGGTTTTTCACAACTTTTTAAAATAAGGGTGAAAGGATTCTCTCTTGTCTGTTCAGTCTAAATTGAAGCCTTCTGATTCCAGCCTGGTTTGCAGTTGCAAAATTTGCTCCAGCTTTCTAAATTGATCTTCACCATCAAACCATATATCTTTCATGTAATCCCATAGTAAGCTTTGTGCCCAGGACATATTTCTTGGAGCGTGCCATGGTCTTAAAGGATCATAAATACTCACCTGAGAGTGAAGTAATCTCTAGATGATCCATTTTAAACCAAGGACTGTTTCATAAATTATTTGAGGACTCCCCTGCCTTGTCTTCCAAGAAAAATACTTCTCAGTCAGTCTTGCTCACTAGAAATATAAAAAAAGAAACTAGAATGATGAGTCTTTCTTTCTTCAAACAGAGCACTGGTGATGACAAAAAATGAGCCTTTTTTCCAGAATAAGAATAATTGTACCTTTCCTTTCACAGCAAGAGGTAATACAGGCTTTTGGAACAGTGCCCTCACTTTAGGTCTATTCTCTTTTGCTGTCTTTTCAACATAATTCTCTGCCAAACCTACCTGTGATTGACTAAACTGAACCAGCCCACCAGTAGTGCCGATAAAAGTCCCCCCTCCCCATATGTTGCCAGTCTTGAGTCTGAAAAATTAGGCGGAGCTGACAAGCACCTGTTAATTCACAATACGTGGCTCATGGGCCATATTCAGTAACGCATGCCTTATGTTGTGCAGGCATATTCTGTATTGACTACAACCAACCTTAGTGACTCTTTTCTTCAAAGTATCCATTAATGTTGATTTTCACATGTCATTCTGATGATCAGTCACCAAGTTTGGAGAGATTCTTCTGGAGTTCTGTTGCAGCCTGCTCTGGATTTAATCATCTTGAATGCTTTAGTTTTACCTGAGACCTCCGGGTATAGGGTGGTACAGTGGTACCTTGAGTTACAAACGCCTCAGGTTACAAATGCTTCAGGTTACAAACTCTGCTAACCTTGAAGAGTTACCTCGAGTTGAGAACTTTGCCCCAGGATGAGAACGGAAATTGTGTGCTGGCGGTGTAGCGGCAGCAAGAGGCCCCATTAGCGAAAGCACACCTCTAGTTAAGAACAGTTTCAGGTTAAGAACAGACCTCCGGAACGAATTAAGTTCGTAACTAGAGGTACCACTGTATATGAATTCAATAAATAATAATAATGATGATACCTGCATAGTTGGCTGTACCATTTCCCACCTGTTTATCCAGATCATTTATTAATACATTTTAGTACAGTGGTACCTCAGGTTACATACGCTTCAGGTTACATACACTTCAGGTTACAGACTCCGCTAACCCAGAAATAGTGCTTCAGGTTAAGAACTTTGCTTCAGGATGACAACAGAAATCGTGCTCTGGCAGTGTGGCAGCAGCAGGAGCCCCATTAGCTAAAGTGGTGCTTCTGGTTAAGAACAATTTCAGGTTAAGTATGGACCTCCGGAATGAATTAAGTACTTAACCCGAGGTACCATTGTAATGGTTTTTACTTGCGTCTTGCTTGTGAAATTAAAACACAGTTCCATTAGGAAGATCAAAGGAAAATGAGTTATATTGGAGAGCAGTGACTTTAGCAGTACAGTCGTACCTTGGTTTTTGAACAGAATGCGTTACGGGAGTGCATTCAAAAACCAAAGTGTGGCTTCCAATTGGCTGCAGGAGCATCCTGCAGTGAATTGTAAGCTGCAGCAGATGTTCGGCTTCCGAAAATCGTTAGAAAACCGGAACACTAACTTCTGGGTTTTGATCATTCGGGAGCCAATTTGTTTAGGAGCCCTGAGCTCCTTTGGGAGAAAGAGTGGGATATAAATTCAACCAATCAGTGTAGGAGAAGATAGTCCTTTGTATGATCTTATCCTCAAGCCATGCGAGGCTTTGGTAGTCATAAGCAGCACTTTTAATTGTGCCCAGAAATGAACTTTTAGATGTTCACAAGCCAATCAAATGACTTCCTTTATTGGAAGTATTCACTAAACTCTTAAAACTGCTGCAGCACATGAGCCTTGTATTCAACATTGAAATTTGAAGCTGGTCCCACTCGTTTCCATACTGCAGATTGTATTTCTGTTCATAAGTGTCCTGGAGGGATGAGCAGTGAGCTAGCCAAGTTTGCTGATGACACCAAATTGTTCAGGATGGTAAGAACAAAAGGGATTGTGAAACACTCCCAAATGAACTATGTAAAGGAGGGGAACAGGGATAAAAATGGCAAATGCAATTCAATGTAAGCAATTGTAAAGTGGCACACATTGTTTGCTTATGTGGTCTGAACTGGTGGTGCCTTGATGAAAATGTCAGCCCAAAAAAGCTTTTCTGGAAGGGAGAAAATTTGGTGCACTCCAAGAGATCTTGAATCTTTCAGAAAGTTCTGATGGCTGGCCTTGGAAATGAGGAGTCCCGTATTATTATTAAATTACTATGTTATTAAAACTGTGTATCTTGTATTATCTACAGCTTTTAAGGTGACTTAACAACATTATTAAATTTACAGAGACCAGTTGAAGTGCAGCTGGTATAGGCAAATGCAACAGGTTTTATGCCCACAATTTCATTTATTTTTACACTGTATTACAGTGTTCGAAACTATCATTGTTCTAGGCACATTTTGCGACAGGGAATTTCATTAGTGTGAGCAGTTTCTGAGCTCTGGGCGCAGAACTGCGCTTAAGATTTCAGATTAAAACTGCAGAGTGGAAGGAAAGGAGGACTTTTTTCCTGCCTCCCCACTTCCAGCTACTGTCTGAAGACTGGAAAAGAGACCCTCTTAATAATATTAGGGGGATGGGCAGGGGAAGGACTAGAAGACCATGTGAAAAATGAACATAATATTTTAGCTGCAGTTCATTCATTTTCAGCTTTGTATTCTTGTTATAGAAAAGTGTGCCTAGACATTCCATTGTGCCCATAACCTAGGTTTAAGGTGCCATTTCGCTCCTAGCTTTCATATCTCAGTTTCTAACACTGCTGTACTGTACTAGTACCAACTTTTACAGTAGTGACTTCCAACAATGGATTCACTGCCCAAATTGGTAACTAGCTGCAGCCATTCTGGCAAAGTGCCACCCTGGATAAGGAATTCAGCAATTTTGTAATCATGAGTTCTCCCTTTGCGTTTGCAATTAGTATAACATAATTTGCAAGCCCAACTGTTTCCTTTTATATTAAAAAGGTGTTGGGTTTATTACTTTTTGGGAGAGACAATTCTTCCAGTCCTAAAGTATTATGCATATAAATAAATTTAATTGACTTTTCTCCATCTTACATTGGAATGAATATGACATTGAAACCATGTTGTGATTTTACTGTGATTAACTAAAGAAGTCACTGTGTTCTTATTTTACAGGTCAACAACAAGGACAGGATGGAGGCGTAAAAGTACAGCAAGCTACACCAACTCCTGTCACTGTAGCAGTAGGAGGCATCACAAATGCAGCCATTGGTGCTGTTAGTCCCGATCAGATAATTCAGGTGCAGTTGCATGAAGCCCAGCAAGCTTCTGATCAAGACGTGCAACCTGGCAAAAGGTTAAGAAGAGTTGCTTGTTCATGCCCTAATTGCAGAGAAGGAGAAGGAAGGTAATTCCCATAATAGCTGTAAAGTGCCAAGCATCTCAGGGCCAACGGTGATCCTTTTGCTCTTGCATTTCTGTTCCTGCTTTGAACACTGAGTAGACTGCTGTTTAAAACATTTTTTTCCATCTCATTAAAAATCATTTCCCAATGATCTTTAACCTTTTTACATGCCCACAACATATGAAAAAAGTTCCCTCCATTTCCAACACAAATCTGATTCTGCTTTATACATCTTAGCCAGTCTACTCGACTGTTCCTGTTGAAACGGGCCAGGATAATTTGTTTCATTCAATAATGTTTGCAACTGACCTGCCATGACCGTCTCAAGTCACCTTCCCCCGAAAGCAGGTGTTTGTGACTGGGCTGTTGCAATCCGATAGCGTTCAGGGTGGGGTTTTTCAGGAGTAGTTAGATCAAATTGTTTTTCTTAATGTGTTTTACAAAATTGTACTTTGGTTCACCATTAGTGTTTTGTGCTTGGTAGAAGCAGTAATGAACCAGGAAAAAAGAAGCAACATATCTGCCATATTGAAGGTTGCGGAAAGGTTTATGGGAAAACATCTCATCTCCGGGCACACCTTCGCTGGCATACTGGAGAAAGGCCATTTGTATGCAATTGGATCTTCTGTGGGAAAAGATTTACAAGGAGTGATGAACTGCAGAGACATAGGCGAACCCATACAGGTCAGTGAATAATTTGTACAAATGTTTTAAAGTGTATTTTATATTTTATAATATACTTATTGTGCTACAGGTATATGCGCTCTCATTTTTAAATGACTATAGAACTTAAAAGTGTTTCTCCTAATCAGAACCTTGCATGGGTAAGAATGCTTTCTTTTATCTTTCCTTCATCTTCCAAAATTTATCTGTCCTGAATCTTCCAACATTCAGCTTCATCCCACAAGTTATGAGAGAGGTAGAAAAACTTTTCTCTATCCACTTTTCTGTGCCACACAGAATTTTATAAACTTCTACCTTGTCACTTTTTACACACCTGTCCTCTAAACTAAAAAGTCTCAAACGCTGCTAAAGTCCCAAACTCTGAAACACTTCATCCCCTTGATCATTTTGGCTGCCCTTTTTTGAACCTCAATGCCACTTACTAGGACAAACAGGAGGGGCAAGGCAGCAGCAAGATTGAGGCAGCATGGCCATACTGTTGGGAGAGGCAGATTGATTCTGCAGATGAATTCACATGGCTCCAGCCTCCCTGCTGTCTCATCCTCCCTGGTAAGCGACAGTGACACTGTTGCCTGGAGGCTGTTAACAGTTCTCTCCCACCAGCTTATGTCCAGTGAGATTACACCTACAGGAGACTTTCTTCTACAGAGCACAGTGATCAGTTGGTTAGATAATGGGTGAGATAATAGATTCCGTTTACTACTCCCCGAGACAGCTGGGACCACTGCCTCCTGCAAGGATATGTCGACCATACCCTGGATCCAGGAAGCTCATTTGACAGTACAGTGGTACCTCCAGTTACGAAAGGGATCCGGAGGCCCAGCCATATCCTGAAAATTCTGTAACTGGAGGAATGCTTCTGCACATGCACGCAAACCCACTTCCGGGTTTGCTGCGTTCGCAACCCAAAAGTTACTTTACCCGAAGGGAAGGTAACCCGAGGGTCCACTGTAATTGATATGGACAACATTTACCATGTTAGGCACTCTGATGGTCTCTTGAAGTTTTCTTAAGAAGTGCATATTTTCACATTCATGTCTTTGTAGACCAATGGAAACATCATGTAAAAAAGGGTTACTTGAATCTGTTCACAATACTTGCATATATCGGTACACATTTTTACTGTGAGAAAAGTCACGTATAAAGGTTTTTAATTGATTTCCATATGGTGAAAGAAAAACGTCCTAAATCTTCCAGGAAGCTCATAAAAGTAGCAGTTGCTGCAGATAGTACTAGCACTTTAAACTACCGTATTTTTCACTCTATAAGACGCACCCAGTTTTTGGAGGAGGAAAACAAGAAAAAAATATTCTGAATCTCAGAAGCCAGAACAACAAGAGGGATCGCTGCTTTCGCTGCGCAGCGATCCCTCTTGCTGTTCTGGCTTCTGGGATAGCTGCGCAGCCTGCATTCACTCCATAAGATGCACACACATTTCCCCTTACTTTTTAGGAGGGAAAAAGTGAGTCTTATAGAGCAAAAAATACGGTAAATTCATGTATGGGTACACATGCATGTACACTAGTTGTTTCGCTGTGTGGTCCCATAAATTCATGCTTCTGGTCTTCAAAATAATACTTTTTAAAAGACAAAATTAAGACAACATAACAAGTTGAAATTACTGTAGCTATACTGCTGATTGTAGCCAGATAATTGTCCCATAATAGAAAAATTAATTACTGAACAACTCTTGTTTTGTTTTTTCCACAATAGGTGAGAAGAGATTTGAATGCCCAGAGTGTTCTAAAAGATTTATGCGAAGTGACCATCTCTCCAAGCATGTCAAAACACACCAGAACAAGAAAGGTGGGGGAACAGCCCTCGCTATTGTTACCTCAGGTGAATTGGACCCTTCAGTTACTGAGGTGCTCGGATCTCCGAGGATTGTCACAGTTGCAGCCATTTCTCAAGATTCAAACCCAGCAACCCCTACTGTTTCAACAAACATGGAAGAATTCTGAAGGAACATTATTCAAATGCCTAGAGTTGCACTTAAGTTTACATACCTTTCAAGATACGAAAGTGGGCTGGTAAAAGTGTATTACAGAACAGGAAATCATGTAGTCAGTCTTGATTTCTGTAAGTATTCCAAGTTGGAGGACTAGCACAGGAAGTGTACTTTGTATAACAAGATAAAAAAAATAATCAAAAATAAATACAGGGCCAATTGTCATAGATAAATTATGGATACAGCAGATGAAGAAAAGATTGCTTCCACACTGTACTAATTTATGTAGCTATATCACGAAAATGATTTTAATTGGATTTTCCTTCTCTTCACATTCTATGTAAATGTTTGTTGTAACAACAAACAGTACAAATATACAACAGGTTGTCTGTTGGTTAGGGTTGTTTTCACATGAATGTCTCTGGAATTTTCACAGGAACTTTCTTTCTTCAAACGGCACAACAAAAACGCATAATCTAGTAAAGATGACAACTTTTTGTTTCTTTTTGGTTTGTGAAACATATAGTAAACCTGGCCATCTTTGGTCATTTTTAAAAAATAATTCAGATGGCAGCATGTTAAATGGTTCTGAGGTGCACCTCAGATAATTTTGGCCACTACATTATAGTAGTGTGTATAATGACAATCAGTAAACACAAATTATTCTCTAGGAGAGATAAAGAGATCTATAGAGCCAGTGTACACTGTAGCAAATATTGAATCTTAGAAATATATTGACATAAGATTTTAATTAATTTCTATGTAAAAGTTAAATATAGGAACCTATGTGATAAGTCCTATACTTTTAACACATCCCATTTCAAGACATGGGTGATCCATTGCTAAGCCTTGGTTAACTTCATTTATAAAAAGTGTAATTTAAATATTTAAATTTTATTAGAATACTTGGAAATGGTGGGATATAGGATATTGTAGTAGACCTCATGCACCAATGTCAACCTTTCGTCAGTAGCAAATACTGTGGTTATCATACTGAGTTCTTTAGACTTTGACATAACAGCCAAAGAAATGGATGAATACTTTCAACCAAAACTATGAATCTAAATTAACCTGTTCTGTTTCTTTCATTTCAAAAAACTACTGTCCAGGATCCAAAAAGCTACTTTTGGCTTGTCCAAAGGCACACTCAGTAAGGTTATTTGAACTGCAGGCCCTTGTGCCTTATCAGAAATTCCTTTTGAAAATCCCCTTGGTATCAAAAGTGGCTTGCTATATGGCATTGGGGGCTGCTATTTGAGAGGCTCAAGCCATAAGTCACTTTGGAAGCATAGAGGTAGTTGCAAGTGTTGTTTTGTTTTGGTTTTGTTGTTTCTTTTTCTTTCGGGGTTTTTTTTATCCCATCAAAATCTTACACACACCCCCCAGTAGATAGGCTAGCAAATAAAATTATTTAAATATTTTTGTTGGATCAATAATTTTAATTCTTCAGAAAGAAAACATATTTTAAAAATATGACTGCTGTATATTGGTAGAGGTAAGCTATTACTTCCTCAGTATGCATTTTGTTAAGCCATTACAGTTCAAAAAGCACCAGTTTGTTTTTTTGTCACAGATTCAGCTGTAGTCACTGACTACTAGTCGCCCTGGACAAAGATGCATATTCCAGATGAGGCTCACAATGCAGGGATAGGGATGCACTTCCAGATAAACAGCTGCATCCATATCGTCTACACATGCAAATTGTTGTTTTTGTGTGTAGCTCTGCTTTTTTAGATTGGGGCATCTGTGCAAATTTGAGTATACAACAGAAATATGGCCAAATATATTTTGGAATTTAAAACATTTCCCATAGACATAAATATTATATTTTGCAAATCCACCGTTTGGTAAAGATCACATGACTTTCTGGTTTTTATGGTTTTACACCAAAATATTTCGATGATGGAACTTGCAAGTACAGTGCAAGAAATTAATGTGTATCCTTTAAAAATTATGATTTATGTTTTTAACCTTATATAAACTATCAGTTTTGTGGCATTGCATGCATTTTTAAAGACAAAGATCTACCATTTTGTACTATGTACACTTAGGGATGCCCAGTGTAGTGAAATAGAAGCTGAAAGTCTTTTATACTTTCCACTTGCATACATAGTAAAGAAAACAATTTTACACATTTCTACACTGTGGTTATAAGTGAAAGTTTCTTAAACCTTTTGTAGGCATTTAATAAGTATTTCCATTTTAGTTGGGTTTTTATATATTATTTTGTATATTTTATTTAAAATATTTTCAAGCTGATTTTATCTGGCTTTAAAACCTCAGACTCAATTTGATGATACATTTAATACAGATGACCATTAAGTAATGCTAATTATTATTTTTGCAGATCAGATGAAGCATCAAACACATATTTTATCATTAGGCTTCACAATCAGTGCTATAGAAGTAAAGCAAATAAAATGTTCTTAAAGAATCATGTTTAACTTAGTATTTTATTTTGTAAACAGAAGGTATGAGTGCTCTGCACAGCTGGTAAATATTCTTTTTTGCATATTTTATGTATTCAGATAGGAAATGGAAATTATTTTTTAATCTGCAGCAAATCCCTATTACAAGTGTATCAAAATCTGGTTGGCATCACAGAATCTTAATATAGATTAATCTGTGTTAGCAGGTGCACTTACTATTCCTGGAATTGGAAAGGTTTTAATAATCTGTTCTGCATACCATTCTGAGTCCACTTTTCAGTCTTAGAAGGATCGTAAATTTCAATGTCCTTTATTTGACTCAGTGGGATGTAACTTGTATGTAATAGGGCACAGATGTGCAGTAGTAGCTTATTTAATGCCACTTCACTGTTCATTCCCTTTGCCACAATTACAAGGTTTTGTTTTATCGTACTTATCAGTGCAAAGTGTAACTATCATGGTAGAACTCCAGTGTTGGAATAGGTTTTTTCTTTTCTTTTCAAAATGCTTTCTTGGGATAGGGTTGTGTATGTGTTTCCTGATTACATTAGAAATTGGTGTTAAGTCATTATTTATCACACTGTTTCATGAGAGAAGTAATAAAAGTGTGTTATTTAGAAGAAAAGGTTTATTTGTTAAACTTAGGTAAGCATGATGTTTGGGTCCTATTTTTCAATTTTATAACTGTTTTATTGCAACAATATTTGTATTTAAGTCTCCCATTTCTAATGCCTTGTGATTTTTTTATGCATGTCACTAAATTGTCATCCCGCAAAAATTGATGTGCAGCATAGGGTGTTAAATCTACATAAAGATTTTGAAACAGAAAAAAAATAGTTGGTGGTAAAATTGTAAATGTTTTGCAGAAAACCTTATAAAAAGTTTTGTAGTAATATTTCACTTGTAAATTTTTTTGTAAGAAAAAGAGGGGGGAAGGGGGTGGGGAAGACAAGAAACACCCATTCTAGAATCTGCAAATTAATTCTGCCAGCAAAGCCTCTAAGGCATTAATTTTTACTATGCTAATTTGTATACATTTTGTGTGTTTTTGTGGATTTGAAACTAAAATTGTGTAGACGTTGTTGCCTGCAATAATACTTTGCAAGTAACCTATTAAAATTCTCTTGAGTTTGAATGTATGTTTATTTTTAAAAAAACTTGTATTTATTTATAATATTTGTATTGTGTGTACTAATTTAAAATATTTGAGTCCTATTTCCACTCAGACTCAGTATTCAAGCTGGTGTATACATAAACAACCTTTAAAACATCAAGATTGTAATAAGATAGTGTGTAAGCATATATCCTAATAAACATGCATAGGATTGTGCTATAAAACTAATATGTAGTTCAGCAGCAGGAAGACACATTCCTAATCAAGAACCATCAAAGGGTGAGAGCAGGTGTGCCTCCCACCATATATTTCTGAACTACAACTCCCATTAGCCCCAGCCTACTTGGCCAATAGGGACGTGGGTGGCGCTATGGGTTAAACCACAGAGCCTAGGACTTGCCGATCAGAAGGTCGGCGGTTCAAATCCCCACGACCGGGTGAGCTCCTATTGCTCGGTCCCTGCTCCTGCCAAACTAGCAGTTCGAAAGCACGTCAAAGTGCAAGTAGATAAATAGGTACCGCTCCGTTGGGAAGGTAAACTGCGTTTCCGTGCACTGCTCTGGTTTACCAGAAGCAGCTTAGTCATGCTGGCCACATGACCCGGAAGCTGTACGCCGGCTCCCTCAGCCAATAAAGCGAGATGAGCGCCGCAACCCCAGTCAGTTACGACTGGACCTAATGGCCAGGGGTCCCTTTACCTTTACCTTACTTGGCCAATAACCAGGGGTGATGAGAGTTGTAGTTTAGCAACATCGGGAGAGCAAAGTTTGCTCACACTTCGGTTAGAACCTCAGCAATGTGACAAATGTTTTATGTCTAGGCTGGGTCTTAGACAAAAAGGGTATTTGCATCTGTAAAGAATGAGCCTCCCAAATGGATCTCCCATCTGCAGCTGTGGCAGAGGAAGTGCTAGATTGATGTCTTGCCTCAGTAAGAGTCAGAATGAGAGCCAATAAACAAGCTTAATCCAGACACGACTGAGGTACTGTTAGGGAGTGGATGTGATGTGGCCTGCTCTGGATGGAATTACACTCCCTCTGAAGGAGCAGATATGTCATAATTTCAGGGTACTTCTAGATCCATTATTGTTGGCTTGAGGCTCAAGTAGCCACAGTGGCACCAAGTGCCTTCCAGCAGCTTTGACTGTGGTTCCAACTGTGTCCCTTTGGACAGAGGCAACTAACTTGTCTTGTCTTTGCCCTGATAACCTCTAGGTTGGATTACTGCAGTGTGCTGCCCTTTAAGACAATTCAGAAACTGCAGCTGGTGCAGAATGTGGCACAACTGCACTGGCTACCAATTAGTTTTCAGGCTTAATTCAAAGTGCCGGTTTGGACCTATAAAGCCATATGCGGCTGAGGCTCTTCTTCATGTGACCCATCCACAGGCAACAAAGGGTGGCCATACGAGAATAGGCCTTTTCAGTGGTGCCTCTGTGGAATTCTCTTCCTAGGAAGACATTCCCACTGCCACCTTTATTTTTAGGTGCCAGGCAAATACTATCCTGTTTATCCAGGCTTTTGGCTTTTAATTTGAAGGGTTTCAGGAACTTGTGGCCTCTTTTAATATCGTGAAATCTGTTAACACCCGTCTTTAATTTTATAGAAGCATTTTCAGGCTTTTATTGGTTGTATTTGTCCTAATGTGTTTTAATGTACCGGTAAGTCACTTTGGGTCACTTTTGACCCAGTGAATCAGAACAGCAACATATGTAGGATCCAGGCTGTTAAGACAGCCCCCGTTTTCTTTTCCAAAGAAAACTAGCAACAATAAATACTGGGATTCAAAAATCTATGAAGGCTGCTTCTAATAACTCAATTAAATGACTGTCTTTAAACAGCAGACAATCCACTTCACTCCTATTCCACATCACAAGCTGCTTTTGAAGCTTCACTCAGTTTCAGAAGCCGTTTATCACTAACAATCTGCTTAATGGACAAATACAGGCAAGCCTTCCTAGAGGGAGATGAAGTTACGACTAACTTGCTAGTGTGTCAGGCGTGAGCCAGCAGTAAATCACACTGTGCAAGTTAAGAGTTAACAATTAGCAAAAACACAATCTGCAAAGGAGTGTCAGGCTTAATGAGCACAGCAATCCATCTCCAATCATAGCTGTCAACCGTCCCTTATTTGGCAGGAAAGTCCCTTATCCCAGTGCCGTGTCCCGCTGCTGTCCCTTATTGATGATGTCCCTTAAATTTCCCGGTTTTCAAAGGAAGCAGCTCCTCTCCCTCCCTCCCTGCCAGCCAGGGAGGAGGGAGGCTCCAACTGTGTTGCTTGGCTGCGTTGCTCACCCAGTAAGGAGTCTAAGAACGACAGGGGTGGAGCTTGCATGCTTTGTGCCAATCAAATTGGCCGTGTTGCCTGGGGACTCGCCTTTGCTCAGCGCTTCCCAGTGGAGAGGTGATGGTGGCTTTCCTTGCTGCATCCCCTTTGCTGGGTTGCTGTGCTGTAGCAACCACCGCTTGAGGCTTCATTTGGCTGCTGGTTGACTAAAATCCCTTATTTTGGCTGCTGATCCCTTATTTTTGAGGCTGCTGGTCCCTTATTTTCAAATCTGTAAGCTGACAGCTATGTCTCCGATAGGTCTTGCCCCCCATGAAGCAGTTGCTGAGACTGAAGATCCCTGTCTCCCCACAACTGCCTAAGTTCGCTCCTCTCCAGGTTTTCCCCCCAAGCAATCGAAGACTGTGTCTGCATGCTGCCAATCTCTCCTCTGCCCTTTTCATGCCTCTTCCTGTTCCGGGAGACAAGTGGGGTGAAGATTTTGTTGCAGCAGGAGGAGGCACTCATGCCTCTTCACTAGCTGACTCATCTCTGCCTCTTGGCCACCCTCTTCTGCTTCCATCTCTGCTTCTGGACTTCTCTCTGCCACAGACTCCCTTTCCTCACTTAGCCCTGTTACCTCCTCAGCATCTAACACAGGCATAGGCAAACTCAGCCCTCCAGATGTTTTGGGACTACAACTCCCATCATCTCTAGCTAACAGGACCAGTGGTCAGGGATGATGGGAATTGTAGTCTCAAAACATCTGGAGGGACAAGTTTGCCTATGCCTGATCTGACACCTTCTCCTTCCTGTCTTCTCTCTGTGACCACTGGTCATGGTCCCAACACAACTCCCTAGGCTCTGAGCCTTCTTCCCTTGGTACCTCCCAGCTGGTACCTCCCACTAGTCCTCTGTGCCCACCCAGTCCATGACACAATGTCACACAAGAATCACAGCACATCTAGCTCCTGAAGATTTTTGTAATAATATTACTGATATTATAAAGGTAAAAAGGCAAAGGACCCCTGGATGGTTAAGTCCAGTCAAAGGAGACTGGGGTTGTGGTGCTCATCTCATTTTCAAGATGAGAGAGCCAGCATTTGTCCACAGGCAGCTTTCTGGGTCATGTGACCAGCATGACTAAATCGCTTCTGACGCAACGGGACACCATGATGGGAGCCAGAGCGCACGGAAACGCAGTTTACCTTCCCGCCACAGTAGTACCTATTTATCTACTTACACTGGTGTGCTTTTGAACTGCTAGGTTGGCAGAGCAATGGGCGCTCATCCAGTCAAGCAGATTTGAACCGCCGACCTTCTGATCGGCAAGCCCAAGAGGCACATTTTTCTTCAGCTCTTGAAAGCAAAAGTTCTAGTTTAATATTCTTCCTAGTCACTAGTGGTCTAAAAAACAGTAACAGGGAAGGAAACAAACAAACAAACCACTGGCCAGTTTTTGACGCACTTCCCTAATATTCTCCGTGAATCTGCAGCTTGCCTACTTCGCCATTTCAGAACTCTGAGAAACTGAAGCCATTGGCTGCAAGTTGGGCTTCTGCGACCACCTGCCCAGAAGCACTTGGATAGCGGCACCCGCCCTTGCCCAAATGAAAACACCGTTTGGAAACCTTATAAAAAACCAATGCATATATCGAGCGGCTAGTTTTGCTGCCTTGAAGCGAGCCAGTCCATTTGCTCGTGGGGAGGACCTGCCACTCTTCCGCGCGCGGGGGCAGAGACCCCCTGGAGGTGTGTCGCTAAACATCCGTGTGACGCACCAGGCATTTAAAAACCTTCGCCAGCCCTTAGCTTCTCCGTTGCCCCCACCTTCCCACCCCCGGCCTCGCAGCGGCTGATGGTTCCTTCCTGGCAAGCCGTGGCCCTAATTGGCCAGGGCCGTGATTTGTTTCCCTTGAGGAGCGGCTTGTGGGTGGCCCGGCCGTGACTTTTTTCGCTCGTCCCCAGGGCAACGGGACGCCGCCGCTGATTGGAGCAGACGGAGCAGCGAGTTGAACCGGACGCTGGCGGGGGCGTGGGGAGCAACTCCGGGGCCGGCAATGAGCGCCAGGAGCAGCGGCGGCAGCAGCAGGTGAGCTGCCCGCGCGCTAATTAGCGGGCGCTCCAGAACTGCGCGGGGAAGGCGAGGAAAGGGCGTCCAGCTCCGCGTCGCCGAGAGAAGTTGGGAAGGGCGCGCAGCCGCGAAGGGGAGCATTGCCAGCGAAGTGCCCCAGCTGCTGCAGCTGCAGCGCCGCCGCCGCCTCCTCCTCTGTGGACGCCGGGCTGGAGATGGAAGAGGACGAGGACGAGACGGCGCAGGAGAAAAGTTTCGCGGAGGACGCGAGGGCCCAGTTCGTGGGGCGCCGCGTGGCGCACTTGCTGAAGCTGAAAGACGACAAATGGAGCCACTTCCTGGCGGAGGAAGACAACCAGAAGCTCCTGCAGGACTTTCTGGAGAACAGCCGCCTCACTTTGCTGGCTTTCTGCCTCCCTCTATCAGGAGGGCTGGCAGCTGGGACGAAGGTAAATAATGGCCGGGGAGGTGTTTGGGTGGGGCTTCCAGAACAGGGGCGCCCTTCTTGCAGGGCGCCAAGTGGACTGGTTTCTCCCTTGCCTCCTGTGGGCTCCGTCAACACTCAGCCATGTGGATGTGTTTGGTATGGGTGACTTCCAAATCTCGAGGCCACCCTGGGGTGCCAACGTGAATAAAATATTGGGGGGGGACAGCTAAGCCCCACCCCACATAATAGATCACATGTC